CTAAACCCTAAACTCTAAACACCAGTACGTCAACAAGCTCTTTCTCCTTTCCCGCAGGAGGCCGAGTATGAGGAAGGCGAGCGCGGCTTCCTGGTCACCGGAATGACCTGCCAAAACGCTCTGCGAGGCACCGGTACAGGTAGGCGTACTATGGTATAGTTTCCCAAAATAAGGGTGGGGACCCCAATATATACCCCAATNNGGGTTTAGGGTTTAGGGCGAGGTACGAGGATGGCGTTACTGTAGGGGCTTAAGGCTTAAAGCAACTAACTCGAAAAAGCTATGCGGAATGTTATACACTCTCCCTAAACCCTGAACCCTATGATAGCATAAGAATAAGAAAGTGAATCGTACCACTACTAATAATTGTAGCAACAAGAATGATAATATTGCTAAGAATTTTCTTCTAGAATTATACAAGAAGATTATGGGAATGACAATTACTCGAGCTCTGACTGTTGTGCGAGAATACCTTGAGAAATGAAGACAGCCGTATTCAGAACAAATATGGATGTTGATATTCGCCGCCACATGAGTGCAACATGTTGATGACCATGGGACTGTCAGATCGCAAGTTGTCTACTGGATGTGATAGCTTCTGCAGGATTGAAGGATTTGCGACTTTGGCTGGAAGTGGAGGCGGGCCGGTAGCTTTGGCTTTCAACCCTACACCATGCTGACATGGAAGTATAGTATCATTCCAAAAGCACTCCACTCGCAATTGATAAGTGATCCCCGTATTTGGACGATGCTCCGGATGGTTACATACCAACAGCTGGACTCCCTGCGGCAACATGCCGAGAGACCTGTGCTGGGTAGGCTGCAGAGGAGGAACAACCCGCCGCCAAAGAGGCGCGAGGTGTCGCTGAGAGCCCAGCACTCGGAGGAAGTTGCTGTTCCCGGGGCAGTTGCTACATTGAATCATGTCTAACGAAGTAAACAAGTTCTCCTGCCGTGGTAATGTTATGGCGGGTTTAGGGGTATGCAGCTTGTTGAAGAGAAGCCTGCGCCGACAGCAAGGTACTTGCATCCAAGCCGCTAAACTCCGCACCCGGGACCGCAACCTAGGTTATCGGGCGAGAACACCCTCGAACTTGCTCCCAGAAGTTACACGTCAGGCTGAGTTAAGACAGGGCTAAACATGTGCGCTCGGCATACCGATGGAGCTCCCAACATCTTAAACCAGTCTGGGGTTTGGTTTTGAGGGTGTTGGG